TTAGAAATTCAAATTGCAATTTCTCCCTTACTTGTTTAGATCACTTTCTTTAACCTCATATAAAGACAATTGATTTATTAGTCGGAGAGGAAAAGCTAATCGAGAGAGGAGTGTTGTGTGGCTATCTTTTTGGGGCTAAAAAGCTAAGGAGCTACTACTTGTGGTTGTTGGAAAAGTTGACCACAATGGGGTTACTATCTATAATTACTACTAGAAAAAAAGGTGGGTTAGTTGTTATCCGTAGTTGGAGGGGGTCATTGTCTGCGGGAGAAACTATCGTTACTAGAAGGGATTATTACAACTGCTATGAGCTAAAGGAAGTTGCTATAAAAAAACCCGGTCGAAAGAGATAGGTCTAGCCAAGAGTAAGAGGCTAGTCGAAGAAGTCTTGGCTAAGAAAGATAGATTTGTAACTTCCAATTCGTTGCTAAATAATGGAAGCGAGCATCGTTGGATATGGGAGAGAAGGATGATTGAACTCTCTTTGTGAGTTTTCTCGGGGTTTTGGTCGAGGCTAGGAGAGGTTCTTTTTGAGCTTGTGTTCAACGATGAGGAGGCTTCTCATATTTATGGCTATGTGTTTTAGATTGTTTATTAATTATGGTCGGTAGCTTGGAAAAGGATTTCTTGCTTGCAGATGGCGGTTTGGGAAGGGCTTCTCTTGAGATTTCTCCGGTGGCTAGGATGGCTTTTCGAGCTTATGGTTGTGTTTTGAGTGATGGATGGTAGTGATAATGGTAGGTTTTGAGCTTTGAATGATGGTGGCTATGAAAGCTTTGGGGTTTTCAAGAGAAAGTATTTCTTTCTCCAAGTTTCTTCTTATGAAAGAAAATGGAGTACCCTCCTTTTAAGTGAGAGAGAAAGAGAGTTTTTATAGTGTAGGTTGTTAGGGTTTTAGGAAAAAACCCAAAATTTCCCTTTTTTTTTTTTTTTTTTCCTTGTGTTTTTTTCCAATTTTAACTCCTATCACTTTATTTTCTATTCACACCCTCTTTCAATTGAAATTTTTTTGCAGCTTAAATTTTAATTCTAATTTTTCATATATTTTTTAATTGGATCCTAAATATCAATTTTTCTATTTATCACACTCTTTTTTTCTTTCTTCTCTCTCTCTCTCTCTCTTTTTTTTAATGAACTATCTTAAATTTCAAAAATCATAACCATAAAAAAATCTACACAATAAAGTAAATTAAACAAAGCATATCTAATTTTGATATTTTTATTTTTTAGAAAAAGATTTGTAAAAAAAAAAAAAGGTCAAAAATTGGATGATAACACTTATGATTTAATAAAGTCATAATATTAAAATGAAACTATACAATAAATCCACATGCTCGGAATGTGAACAAAAAACCAAATGTAAAACCTTGTTTGATTCTTATGATTTAGCCTTTGTTATGTTTAATCATAACTCTAGAAGACTAAAATAAAACATGGATGCAAAAGCAATGATTGCAATTAAGAAAAAAGAACTTTAGCCTAGAACTTCTCTTCCCATAATTTATTTCTTGGGCATTTTGAAGTTCTTAAAAAAAAAATCAAAAGAAGAAAAAAAAAACAAGAACTTGGCTTCAACTTTACATCGTTTAAACAAACTCTATGTTTGTTACCACTTGAAAAAAAATTAGAAAAAATAAAACTTAAACTAATAATATAATTAAACCCAAGTTATAAGATAAAGAGTATATATATATATATATATATATATTGACAATAAATGGTACAAAGGTAGTAAGGTTGAGAAGTGTGATGGGTATGATTTTGAAATAATATTTTTTTTTCAAACTCAATGCTATCCTCTTTCTTTTCCTTTTTTTCCTTTATCTTTTTTTTTCCTTTTAGAATCTCTAAATTTATAATCTTTTTGTATCTCAAAAATTCTTTGAACCTAATGGGTCAAGATTGTTGTTTGTGCTATTAATATAGGCATGAGAGAAAAGAAAAGAGAAAAAAAAATGTTGTTTTTTGTAGTTCGGCTTGTTAAAAAAGGTACTTTAGAGCTAATTTTTTGGTGGTGTAGAGAAGAGATTTTGGCACTAGAAATAAGTTTCATTGAAAAAATGGGCATAAGATATATCTTTTGGCATGCTTTGAAATAAGTTACGTTAGGGATAGAAAAAGTTTTGGGAGTTGTTTTATGGGTTGAAGATAAAAGAACCAAGTTCGGGTAAAAAAGAAAAAAATTATTGTCGAAGGAAAGAAGGATGAATAGTACTCAACAAAGAGCAAAACAATGTCATTTTTTCCTTTGTTGGGAATATTCTTTTTCTTTTCATTTCTTCGAAATGAGTGCCATTTGGATTAGTTAAAGTTTTTCGATTGTTCAATTTCTTTGCCTTTTCTTTTTCAATCATTAGTCTTGTCCGTATTTCATCTTTTTTTTTTTTCCTTCCTTTTCTCTTTCAATTTCACCCTTGCATCAAGGGATGGCAACTTGCCCCACCCCGACGGAGCCTCGCCCTAACCCGCCTTTGGCAACACGGGGATGCCCCGAGTTGACCGAGGAACGGGATGGGGTGCCTCGCTTCGGAGCGAGGATGATATTTGCCCACGCGACCCCGTTTGGCTCGCTCCATCTTTAAAATTATAATTATACTCTACATGAAATATGTGACTACCGATTCTTAGGGTTTATTTTCTATAGAATTATAATTTTTCTACTATAGTTTTGAAATTTGATAATAGAATAGAGTGAGACAGAGACGAAACAAAAAATTAAATGGGACACCGAGTGCTCTACGAGAGATCCCTGCTCCCATTTGGGATGGGGATGGTATGAGAAATATTACCTCAAGTGGAGCATGGGGTAGAGACGGGGCAAAAGTTTTAAGGGCGGGGCCATTCCTACTTGCATCTCTCTTTTTTCTTTTTTTCCTTTTCAGCGCTCATTCTTTTATTTTTTTTCCACCTTTACCCCTGTATTTTTTTTTCTCTTTTCTTTTCTTTTTAGCTTTGCCCCAATTTTTTACGTTGTTTTTCTTTTCTTTTTTTGCAACTTTTTTTCTTCCTTTTTTTCTTACTACTTTCTCAAAAATTAGGGAAAAAAATACCATCTTTTAAAATCATGAAAATTTATAAAAATTATGAAAAAAATATATATAAAAAGCCCCATCAATTGTTTTCATCATTGAAAGCTTCTTTAAACCTAGCACGTCAAGAATTATTCTTTGTGTCATTAATGCAGGCATCAAAGAAGAGAAAAGAGGAAAAAAGTTATTATTTTTTTACAATTTTAGCTTGTTGAAAAGGGTACTTTGAAGCTATTTTTTTAGTGTATGGGGGAGGTTTTGGCACTGAAAATAAGTTAGCTTCATTCGAAGAAGAGATGTAAGTCGTATCTTTTGACTTGTTTTGAGATAGATTGTGTTAGGAGGAGAGAGGTTTTATGAGCTGCTTTGTGGATGAAAAATAAAGGACCAAGCTAGGAAAAAAATGAAAAGAAGTCGTTTATGTGGGAAAGCATGAATAATGTACAATGAAGAGCAAAACAATGTCATTCTGACCTTTAATGGAGATATTTCTTTTCTTTTCATTCCCTCAAAATAGCGCCATTTGGATTAGTTAAAATTTTTCGGTCTTTCAATTTTTTTTATAGTTTCTTTTTAGTCCTTAGTCATTTCTATTTTTCTTGATTGTATCCCCTAATTAGTGATTTTCTTTTCTTTTTATAGACTTTATTCTTTTTATTATTTCAATTTCATCCCTGCATCTATTTTCTTTTCTTGTTTTTCTATTTTCTTGTTTCTATTTTGGTCCTTTTTCTTTTATTTTCTTTTAATTTTGCCCATGCATCCCTCGTTTTACTTCTCTTCTTTTTTTTTTTCCCCTTTTCAATCCTCATTCTTTTGATTTTTTTTTTCCAATTTGCCCTAGTGTTTTTTTCCCCTTTTAGCTTTGTCCTAATTTTTTCTGTTGTTTTTCTTTTAGATTTTTCAACTTTCTTTTTTTTTTTTTTTAGCTATTTTTCCACAAATCACGAATAAAAAGAACAACGAGTTTTTTGAAAAAATACCTAAAAATTGTGACATCAACTTTTAATCCATGAGAATTAACATCACACTAAGATCAAACAGATTAGGAGTCATCATCCTAAAGGGGAAAATGAACATGTTGTTGAATTTTGATCAAAACATAAAAGATGCATCGAGTAAAGCGTATCATATGAGCCATTAGTCTTTCAAACATTAGAATATTTCGAATCAATTATTTTCGTCCTCTTAAAAAACTTGACTGTTTTCATGCTACAATTCTATTAAGCCATCGATTTTTGTCATAGATATTACTTACAAATTTATGTTGCCTCTTTAAAATTTTATAAATGAGAAGGCATTGTTTTACTTGCAATTTATATAGTTTTATTAGTTTATTTCTTATTAATATTTGATTCAATTTAATTACACATAATACAAAAATATTTACTTTTTAAATTATGATATCGAAAAATTTTATGTGAAACATTCACTAAAACTTAGGTTTTTGTGCTTATAATTAATAATTAGATTACTCCCGTGATTTGTTTTTGTTCTCTTTAATTTTTTTTTAATATGATATTTTTAATGGAAACTCGTTCAAGTTTCTCGGAAAAAATGAAAGATGGACTGTATGTTAGATAAAATTGATGCATACAATGATAGAATTTTGCCATATATTATTTTTCTATGACATGTTGTTCTACTTGACAATTTTTACCAAAAAATTTACCGGAATCTTCTGAAAAAAAGTCTCATTAAGAAAATATTTAGAGTAAAAAGATTAAATAAATAAATAAAATAGAAGGATCAGATTAAAAAATATCAAAAGTATGGGAACAAATATGATTAAGCACAGTTTGAAAACTTAATTGAAACGACCCGCACACAATTAGCGAGAAGTAATTGATTTCTCACGCTTTTTACGATATTGAAAATCGTTCACTTGGTGTAAAAATCACGCGCGCTCTTACTCTCTCTAGTTTCTTGCGATCAATTTTATTGCTCCAAGTCGAACTCAGAATTTCATCAATGGAAAGTGTTGTCGAGGACAACTCATGGGATATCGAAACCATGCTTCTTTGTTTTGCTGACGATGATGACAATGATTCGATATCTTCTTCTGAACAAGTACCAGAGGATGTTTTTTCCTTAACCGAAATATTCACTGAAAGCCTAGTGGAGAATGAGATGAACGACAGGAACAAGAACAAGAATGCGTTGAATTTGTCAAGTTCGTTGGGGAAGAGAAAAGAAAGGAGAGAAAACAATGTGGGGTTTTACAAGAAAGTTTAAAAAAAACAAGCATAGCTGAGGCACAAATATTCCAGGGTTTTCTTGACTTTCACTCTGATATGTAATTCTTCCAGTGAAGTTGTTGATGAAGTGATGGCAGCTTTGGATGATAAACAAGCTAGATTATCGGCAGTTATTCAAACGCTGAACGCTGGGCTAGAAGAAGGTGGAGAATTAGATCAAGAGTTTTTGTCTCTTGATGATCATGAAGGAAATCTTGGGTTTGACAGGGATTCATCTCATCAGACGGGTATTCTAGAGGATAAATCTATTGAAATTCCAGACTTGGAGGACGGGCTCAGTTACGAGGAGATGCTGGAAATCTTATGCAGTAATGACGATGAAGGAGACATGTCTATTGATGAATTTCTACTGCTACTTACCGACATCAGAAGGTTTGAGGGACATGATTGATGAAGAAAACGAAGGAGCTCAACCTTATGACATGGATTTGTCTGTCAACGAATGTCTTAGGACATTGTTATTGTGAATTGATAACTCCAATTTTCTCGACATGAGAACAGATCAATGTTAGCTAGGCATTCATTATAGGATTAAGGCATTCACTTTAATTCTTTTTGTAAACTGTTGGTCTTCAAAGGTTGTCTTTACATTATACTTACTGTTACATATGCCCTTCATTAAATGGATTAAGAATCTTAGCTTGTTTTACTCCATTCTTCTACATCCAATAGGTTGAACAGGATGTTTAGTCGTTTAAGGAAGCTTTAAGAAACACGGTGAAAAGCTGAGAGTATTTACACTAACAATAATTACAGAAAAATGCAACAATTTTTTTATTATTATTAATATTTTATTTGAAGTACGAGATAATGATTAAGTTAGTAAAAATAACTTGTGAAATCACCAGATAGTTTGGTAAAAAGACATTATTGTAGCCCAAGGGATGGAAAAAGCTCATTGAGACTACTATTGTTGGTAGTTTTTGTTTTCCGTTGAAAAAATAAAAATTCATAATCCTCCATTTCTCTTTATTGTTGGATGAAGCTCATTGAGCTCATTGTCTATTACTACCAAGTAGCAAGGGTAACTCATGTTTAAAGTATGATGGTAATTTATCCAGTTTCGACGGAACCCCGCCCTTCCTCGCTTTGATTTTCTTTGATCAATGCAGGGATTCCTTGCGTTGATCGAGAAATGAGGCAAGGATGGTATTTGCTTGTCCTGTCATGTTTGCCTCATTTGTTTTTAAATTTTTTTTTCATTAAAATTATAATTATACTCTATATAAAATCTATGACTAATGACTTTTAAGATTTATTTTCTACATAAACTATCATTTTTTTGCAATAATTTAAAATTTGAAAGTAGAATGGAATAAGACAAGACGAAAAAAATAAATTTTTATAATTTTTGCTCTGTTTACCCTACAGGGATCTACGTCTCCGTTTGAGGCAGGGATAATATGAAAAATTTTGTCTTGTTCAAGGTATGAGGCAGGGATGAAGCAAAATTTGATAGGAGAGGGGCGAGGACGGGGATGACAATCTCGGTCCTGCCCCATTGCCATCCCTAATTTAAAGCTTGGAAATGAAGGAAAGGTAGAAGCAAATAATGGCTTTATATCACAAGACAAGAAACAAGGAAGTCAAAATGGTCATCAAGTCATGCTTATAACTGGAATTGAACATGCTCTTCCATCCATAAACAAACCAAACCAAGCGCATTATTCCTTTAAACGATTACAATATTCAAGTCATAAGAGTAAGTTGAATACCATCTAACAGATATTGCCAAAGATTGAATTGTTGCTTCCACAGCTTTTGCTTGCTGCGCGGCACCAGTAGATGTGCTTCAAACAACCGTGTAAACAACAATTACATCTCATTCAACTCCTCTGAGAATATGCCTTTTCCACTATTCAACGTCAATAGCATTAAATTCAATAATCACTAATTTGGGCACCTAAATGGTGCAAGTGTACGACACAGCTTGTAGAAGCAAAGATTAAGGCCACGGCACAAAATCACCAGGGAGCCCCATTTCCGCCACACCACAGTGGCAGCTCCTGGTACTGATTTCTGGAACAATGCAGAATCAGTCGTAACAACCCATAGCCTCGTGATCCTTCAAGTTAAGCCCTGAAGGTTTTCATACGCTTCACAAACCTGAAAATTAAGGCTGAACCCCTTTAAAGCAATACTCAAAAGCTAACTTCATTCCGCTGAAGAAATGCTGGTAATTCCAGACAGCTTCACCCAGAATATGGGAGAGCACAAAACTTGGAAGTGATTTTCATTAATGGGAAGCTTTTGCTCCGCCCTATGTCTTCACAATCGGTCTAGCCATCCAAGGATACTTTCCTGGGAGCCAAACTGCAGATCCTGCAGAACATATTAATAACTGAAGATCATACCATTAGTGGAATCAAAATCAACATATTGATGAAAAAGGGTAAGATTTGAGGCTTACAGCAAGCTGGAAATCTGGTGGAGTGTCCAGTTCAAGGTTCTCCAGGTCAGCAATTCCACAAGGCTCGTTATTGTTGTCTTTCACTTCATTTGTATTGTGGGCACTGCCAGTGTATGAAACAGGGTTTACCCCTGAATTATTTGGAAGACGAGGAGCAGAATCAAAAATTTCATTGCATAATAGAGAATCATCAAAGCCATTGAAATCGGTGTTTTCAACAGCCTGAGATTCACCAGCAAACCATTCAGGTGGAGTGTCCAGTTCAAGGTTCTCCAAGTCAGCAATTCCACAAGGTTCGTTATTGTTTTCTTTCACTTCATTCGTATTGTGGGCACTACCAGTGTATGAAACAGGGTTTACCCCTGAATTAATTGGAACACGAAGAGCAGAATCAAGAATTTCGTTGCATAATAGAGAATCATCAAAGCCATTGAAATCGGTGTTTTCAACACCCTGAGATTCACCAGCAAACCATTCAGGGTATTCCACATCACCCTCAAGCTGAAAAACATCTACAGGTACAACTGGTGCTTCTTCCTTAATCTCCTTTTTCTAGCCCACAAAAACAAACTTGGGTAAAGATGAGTTCCTAGACGCAAATCCAAAAAAATGTATAAATGGTATGAAATTCTTTCATTTTGCATATTCAATGAATGAGAATTTGAAATTTTTAAATGAGAATATTCATGTTTCAACAAATGAATGACCAGTAGACATAATGTGTTAATTCTTGCATATGTTGTGCTTTATCTTGCTCAGACGTGGACCATCTTACACACTTAAGAATGGGTATATTACAGAATGACCAATTTACCTGCACAGCCAACTGCATTATGTTATCATCGGCGACGTCATCATACATAACAGATGTCCCTGGTCGTGGCGGATTGGGAGGATTGGGATTGGGGGTCCTTGGACTAGTTTGATGTGACAAAATATCATTATCTTCAGTAAGTACAATGTCATCGTTCTTTTCAGTTTGCTTCTGCTGGTAGAAAACTTTGGAAACTACGTATTCACCTTCCCTTTCATCTTCATCAGTACCCAGATGGTACTGATGCATCACCCAATTAGACTTATCTGGTTTGGACCCCTTCTTTGAACTTTTATAAAGAACCATGATCTTCTTACAGCCTTTCTGAACTCCATTGTCCATCACAGATTTTGTCTTGCCTGTCTTGTGCCAACGGACATTCTCCTCATTGGAACTAAGTTCACGGTGAACCTTGCGGCGCTTTCGTTGACCAGTAGCATAAGCATTAGTTGTTCTGTGAAAGAAATGGACGCTACTTCCATCTTTCTTAGCACCTGAAACAAAATTTGGAAATGGTGATAAGAATAATATTTGACCCCTCCAACCCTCACAAAGTTGTATTCAATTACTCCTCTTAACTAAGAGTTTATCCTGTTAGAAATAATTAAGAAAAATCTCGAGTCATTATTTATTAGGACTTCATGAATGTGTAGTTTGTAGAAGTTTATGTATGTGTCTGTTCATGAACTTATACGTAATGAGTCTCTGAAGAGTCTCTTAGAAATTCTATATAAGAATTGTTTTAGCCTCTAATTAAGATCAGAAAATTGTAGACACAGGTACATATGCCATAAAAGATTTTCTCCCTATGTTCAAAAGTTTCTCACCTTCTGCTGCTGTATTTAACTTCTAATTTCCAAGATGGATTTGGAACTTGATATCTAAAAAATGGCCAACCAAGTCGACAACTCAAATAGAGCAGAAAATACAACACAAAGTTGAGCTTGGAGGATAATGACTAAAAATTATCATGGTGAAACAACAATTTGCCAATAATAACTAGCAGTGACTTTTTTTTTCTTTCAAAAAGAAAAAAGGGTTCCTACAACTGAATTATGGCTGTCAGAATCAATAGCAAATGCAAACAAACTTAGTTTCTACCAGTAACTCAAAAGTGAACTGAACACCAAATACTTTTGTTTTTAGTAACTAGATAAAGGTATGGTATGGTGATATTAAAAAGTATGCAACCTGAAGTTTGTTGATAAAAAACAAACCCCAGATTGTTTTTTCCTATAATACCTTCTACTAATAACTATCAGTGACTAGGCCATACACACCAGACTAAAAAACAAAAGTGTTGGTATGCATTTTGAGAAAAAAAAAAGTTTTGAGTCTGAATCTTTCATAGTGCTGCATCAACTCTACTCATATTCCATGAGAAAATTGTCTTATTAAATCAAGTAAATTCATTTTGCAGATATGGAAGTTAAACAAACTGAATAAAAATCATGCTTAAAATCACTGACCAGGAAGCTTTGCTGGATGGGTATAACAAATTCCTTTATCGCCATCCAGTGTTGGAATAAACTCATCAATGAACACGTGGGGTTTGGAATTTCCAACAGCACATTTTGCTTCAAGATGCTCTAAAAGCTGCGGATCAGAAGGATCAAATTTTACACCAACAGGCAGGCCAGGCCATTCTTGAGAAACCTGCAAGTCAGAGGCTCCATGTGAGACACACCACGGAAATGTACAATCAGCCATAGTTCAATGAGAGATTGACAAAGCTTCCCATGTAAAAACTGAGAAATGCAACTCATGGTAAAACAACAAAGTTGATCCCAAAAAAGTCAAGTAAATAAAAAGGAGATGAAAGTTGCAGCTTACATCACTGTTATCTATACGACAATGGCATTTTGGGCATTCACGATTTGCCCCACAGTCTTTGATTTGACTAGTAGAAAATCGAGACACTTTCCTTGCAATTGATCTGCCATCAATAAACCAAGCCCTGCAAGAATGACAAAAGCTAGAACCAAATTAGTAAAGCATAATTGCAGAATATACCAGAAAGAGATGGCAACAGCAACATATTTGTTGCAAGAGACAGAGGGTTGACAGAGTAACCGTGAATGGTACAGCCACTAGTCTTCAAATAGGGCTAACATGACGATTAAAAACGTTAATGACACCAAATTAGCAATCTTAATTGCTCAAACCATGGAATAGAAGTAGAGATACAAAAGAAGAAAGGGAAAAAAATAAAAGAGAGAACATTTTGTTCAGGTCATATCTTAAAAACTAGTTTAAGTAGCCCGCAAGCTTTCAGGACAAGATTCTAATTTACCATGATGATAGTGGGTTTTTCAACAAATTTCAGCAAATCCTTATAAAATGATTTCACCAACAACTCTGGGTTTAAATGGAAAAGAGCACCAACATTTTAGTTGGAAAGCCTCTTCTCATTAAGATATTGTAGCTCCTCCAATGCTTTTGTGTATCAGACTCTTTACGGAAGGGAATACAATGGAAACTTATTGCACTATAATTTATCCATCAAATATAAACATAAAAGCAGGAATGTCCTGAGATTTTTTATGTCACCATGGATGTCCTCCATTCTGCAACGTTTCTAACTGAGTAGCTCTCAAAAACAAAAACCCAGTAAAATATCTTCTGGATCACATTTTTTCTAAAAACAAAACACCAAGAAAATGAGCCCAAAAACACTTATCTAGGTATTTCTTTACCAAAATAAGGTAACATTTTTACATCAATCTCAGATGTAAGTAACATTGTCAAAAAGAAAATTAAAAGTACGAAAATAGAAATATCTAGTCCAAACCCAAACATTAAAATTCCAAAAACTTAAATAAGGCAATATATGTATATATATATATATATATATATATATATATATATATATATATATATAGAAATAGTCCATAAGTTGCCAAAAAAAAAAAAAAAACAGATTTTTCTTCATGATTTCCCAGCTTTCAATCATAAGGAAAAAAAAAAAAAAACCGGTGATTTCTTCATCAGAAACTAATTTATGTAGAAGCTTATTAACCACATCCCCATTAAATCCAAGCTTACCTTGCCATTTGCAGAGAAGAGAAAGAGAGATTCCTGTTACTAATTTTAGAGCTAAAAAATCTTTCCCTTTTCTCCACCAGGCTAAGCTAAGCGAGCGAGAGAGAGTGTGATTATTTATATCTGTTTTTTGTGAAAGCGGGAAAACTGAGCTTCGGTGTCGTTATGAGAGGTTCGGTCGCCGAAACGGAGCTTCGGGTACAGAATCTTTTAACTAACAGGTCCAAACTTGACTTGGGTGGGTCCCGAGGTTGACTAAACCTATGACCGAACCTAGTTCTGTCTCAAAATGTCAAGTGTTGGAGGCATCGTAAACCGTGTACAGTGTCATTTTCGTTAATTTTTCCAAATTTGACTTGCTCCCCAAGCTAAAATAGAAACTGTTCTAATTACTGCTTTCTTCCGCTCTTGCTGCTGCTGCTGAAAAAAAGGTTAATGTTGAGTTTTTTATTTCTTATCAACTGTTTTACTCTCCGATTAAAATTGCTTTTTGAAAGCGATGGAATGGGAATGATACGACGATACTGTTCTTCACGCGGTGAGAGAAAGAAAGAAAAACAAAGGATGCATAAATATTCGGCGTTACTGTCACAGAGATAGATTTGATTTCTTTCGTTTTTAAATTATATTAATATTCACATTACTGTTAAGTTAATAAATTTTTAGAATTTTTTAATAAAAGATGATTTTTTTAATATCTAATTTTTTAATTTATTTAAAAAAATCTCTAATTTATCTTTAAATTTTGATTAGTTTTTAATCTATTCTTCTCTTCAATTTTTGATCAATTCATCGTAAATTAATCTTTATATTAATAGTTATAAATCAGTTGTATCAAATAATAAATATAATTTTATCAAATTCGATATATGCAAATTCCTTATTTAATTTTCGATGAATTGACTATAGATTTTAACTAAAAAATATATATTTTAAGAAAATATTGAAAAAATGATATATTATATAAGAACATATGAGAGTATTAATTTTTTTTCCCCACATGTTTAGAGGCTTTCTTTGACTAATTTTATATATCAAAACTAAATCCATTGCGATTTGGTGAAAATAAACTATACACCCTAGAGCATTTGTGAAAAATTTTGTTACTCATAACATGACTTAAATAAAAGAACACATTCGGAACTAAATCAACCAATCCCCTCGAGTTAAAATTAATAATCTTCTCTTTCTTTCTTCTTCTTTTTTTTTTTTTTTTTTTTTTTTTTTTGGTATAAAAATTGATGTATAGATAAGTGGGAATAAGACCCACCATATATATATTTATCACTCAAGCCAACCTTTGAGAGCAAAATTGTCAATTTGTTGAGACTACATTTACACATAAATATATTAGTAAGAATTATTAATTTATTTAGTATATGAATATTTATTTAAAATGAAGATTAGTAAATTATGCTTTTAGTAAGAATTAACTAACGCAAGCATGAATATTATAGAAAATGAATGAATTAATTGGAGTGTGAATTATAGGTTTACAATATTAACTTTTATGGTTTTGTATTAACCTAGGGATGTAATTGCAAAACCTTAGGGATATAATGTAACCCCCGTAAAAACTCTTATTCGTAACGCGACATGTATTAAAATAATTCTATATATATGTATATTAAGAATAAGTATAATTATCATTTCATCATGAGAAATTAATGCTTGAAATATGTGATTTATGTTAAATTAAAGTTATTGTGCTTAAGATTAATGGTTTAATTATTAAAGAAATCAAATATGCAAAATCGGTGTTTTAAGGACTATATTCTGCCCGAGTTTTGGGTGAATTATTTGAGGACTTTAGGGTCATTTTTGGGTCAACCTTAAAGAATGAAAGTTGTTAATCTACGTGTTGACTAGATCTGTATAAAACGTTATAATATTTAGACCTATACATTAAGAGTTATACCAATTATAGTGAGGGTTGTTTCGAAATGCATTCTGCTGGAATTTTGGGAGAAGAATCGCCCGAATCTTGTGAGATTTATTTGATGCTCGTTAGATTGATTTTTGAGCAAAACTTAAGGAATAAAAGTTTTTTTTCTATGTGTATACTAGCTCTCTATAAAATTTAATAATTTTTGGATACATATAGAAAGAGGTATGCACATTTTAGTATAGATGGGTTAGGAGGAAACAACTGCTGGAATTTTGGGGGAGGGGAAGAAATTCTGAATTTTTTAAAATGGAAATTTCCGAATTTTTATGAAAGAAAGTAGTTTTAGTTACTTGAATTAAGTTAATTAATGATTTTAATTAGTCTAAATTTTATATAGACACCTAAGCAAATGCAATAAATGAATTTAATGCCAACTCACCCATTATGGATTCCAAAGCGACCTGACTTTCCTTATGACTCACCCATAACCTTTACACCTTATCCCATTAATTTTTAACACTTTTAGCTGAATGAAATTAAGTGTATATATATATATATAGCAAGTGTTAAAATAGGAGAAAAATTTTAGTAACCCGTAGGTACCAGAAATTGAGAGAGAAAAGGCAAGAAAGAAAAGAGAGGAAGAAAAACGTGAGGAGAGAAAGGAAAGGAAAGAAAAAGAGGAAGGGAAAAAGGAAAGAAAAAGAGCTAAGAAAACTATAATCAACCCTAAAAGAGGTAATTAGGTTTCATTTCTTGGCTGATTAATGTCTTAAATTATTTTTTTTTAAGTTATTTTGTTAGTGTTTATTTCATGGGTTGTAATAATCTTCAATGATTATATGCTTGATGCTTGGGATAAATCTATGTATGGATGCCTTGTTGTGATGATTTATGATGTTACGATTTTTTTAAAAATGTCCAAGTATGTGATGATGGGTTGGATTGAACTTGGACTAAATTTAAGTGAACTAAAACATGTTTAAAATTGGCTTGGAATGTACTAATAAATTAGTGTTGATAAAGAGTAAATTCTGTCCGAATTTTGGGGTGTATGTTCAAGGATTTTAGATCGATTTCTAGGTGAAACTTAAAGCATAAAAGTTGTTCATCTATGTTTCAACTAACTTCCTTTAAAATTTCTTGGACATTGGATTCGTGTACAAAGAGTTACACCCGATTTAGTATGGATAGCTCTAGATAAACTACTATTAGGTAGATTGCTCCCTAAGTTTCAAAAATTTGTAATTAATTGTGTACTTGGTATTTAGACCTACTTTTTGGATATGTTATAAATAAATATTTCTAGTATCTAAAATAAAATGAGTAAGATTTAATTATGTTCTGAAATTAGAAAATTATTTACTCGATTAGGAGTTGCCGGTAATAAACCCTAAAACCAAAAAAATTAGACTTTGACAAAATTAATAGGTTTGGAATAAACTAAATGAGCTTGGACTAAATAAAATAGAATTAAATAGAGTCAATGGACCTAGGATAAAGTTAATGGGCTCGGATTAAAATAAATGGACTTGGACCTTCTTTTAAATATTAATGAAACTAATGAACAATATTAATGAGCGGAGATTGTGTTCCCACTTGTGGGTATCATGATTGGTATGTGAGCAATGGATAAATTCCGAGTGTGGGTTAGACCATGAGTATGGCATGAGAATGAAGGGTTGGTACCCGAATTTGGTCAAATGTGATTAAATATGTCATCACGTACATCATGTGCATAGTGGGTAGTTTAAGACAAGTCAATTGATTGAGAAATGATTTATATATCTAGGTTTGATAACCTAACTGGAATAAATGGGTATTAGTAGTCTAGTACTTTAGGATGTGTGCATGCACTATTAGACGATGGATTTTCGCTAATAGTAGTTACAACGAGGGATAATTCCGTTGTAGCGAGAAGATGATCCGAGGATCATCTGGATGAAATCAAGTTGTGTGCTTACACTCGTTAGACGATGGATTTCCGCTAACAGTAGTTACAACGAGGGATAATTTCGTTGTAGCAGAAGGTGATCTGCGGACCACTCGGATGATAAATAGAGTAGATCGGCTAATACCTAGGGTACCCGAGATTAAAATTTATGAGTATGGTGGGAAGTCAAAACAACATTGCATATCACGTGCATCACCACGCTTGCCGAGCTTCGGCTCACTTCGTTGTTATTTTTTTTATGTCTTGACGAGAAAAAGACAAGTTGGTATAGATGCGGTCGGCTCCTCCTAAGCGGCTCATGTGAGGCACCATATATTATTTTTTATTTTGTCTATAAATTTGGGGTATGGAGTTCACGAGAAATTGAATATCGCCTGTAATATTTTATTAATGTATTTAATTATGTTATGTAAATTTTATCTTAAGGAGTTATATACGTAATGTACTTGTTAAAGTCATAAGAATATCATAAGAACACTACTTAGAGTTTAAGGTATGTCGGCGTAATGCGCTTCGTCCGATACTCTACTTGGGTAGTAGAAATATGATTGGGGCGGGGGTGTTACGGTATGGTATCGGAGCAATGGTTTAGGGAGTTGGGTCGAACCGTAAGTGCCACATGAGCCCGAGGACCGGTTTGCTCCTGGATGGGTAATTCTAATTTACGGTTCTCTTAAACTATGTATGTTTTTTTTTATTGTGTAATGTGTATAAAATTTTGTTTGAAATTATTAATAACAACAAACCCTATCACTTGTAGATGCCGGCTTTGTATCGAGTACCAAGCGTGCCTAGAACACGATGGTAACAGGCGGCGCTAGCTGCGTTTAGGGCCGAGCTAAATAACCTCACTATGGTTCCGAAACGGGACTTGGTAGCACATATTGTGCGATTTCACGACCTACTTTAGCAAATCGCATTCGCCGATGCCTTCTTTAATCGGTATTTTAGCTCGAACTTCCTTCGGACAACTCTACGTCGGACTCGTCCCATCGGGAGACCAATGATTGTTAGATGAAGTTTGGAAAGACATGATGGACCAACACTCTTATCGGGCTCTAATTCGGACCTTTCTACCAACCCGAGCCGGACGATCCCTCATTCGACCGATGTACGAATGGGGACTATCTTTACCCATTGCTCGTGAGATAGTCCATGCGACAATGAAA